TACAGGCGTGAGCCACTGCGCCCGGCTACTTCCAGGATTTTATAAAGGAATTTTAGTGTTCTCTGACTTCAAGCTATGTTATTATAATGAAAGTAATTAAAGGCCGGGCATGGTGGCTCACGCCTTTTAATCCCAGCACTTTGGGAGGCCAAGGCAGGCAGATCACCTGAGGTCAGGAGTTCCAGACCAGCCTGACCAACATGGAGAAAACCCATCTCTACTAAAAACACAAAATTAGCTAGGTGTGGTGGCACACGCCTGTGATCCTAGGTACTCGGGAGGCTGAGGCCATTGCACTCCAGCCTGGGCAACAAGAGTGAAACTCCGTCTCAAAAAAAAAAAAAAAAAGTAATAAGTTACCACTTATTTACTATATACCATTTGTAACACACTGCATTTATTAGACACTTTACATCACACCTCATTTAGTCCTCAGAGCAACCCTGTTAAGGGAAGAGTTTCACAGTCCCCGTTTTAGAGGAATAGAAGGCTAGGCTTCAGTAAAAGGATTTGAACTCACGACTTCCTGACACTACAGCCTACCTCTCCTACATACCTTGCACTAAGTCTTCATCTCAACTTTCACACCTTAGGTCTTTGTCCTTTTCCTGCAGTTTGTCCCTGTCTTCATGGCATTAGTTTGGCTCTTTTTTCTTTTTTTTTTTTTTTGAGACAGAGTCTCACTCTGTTGTCCAGGCTGGAGTGTAGAGGTACAATCTTGGCTCACTGCAACCTCCGCCTCTGGGGTTCAAGTGATTCCCCTGCCTCAACCTCCTGAGCAACTGGGATTACAGGTGTGCACCACCATGCCTGGCTAATTTTTATATTTTTAGTAGAGATGGGGTTTCCCCATGTTGGCCAGGCTGGTCTTGAACTCCTGACCTCAAGCGATCTACCTGCCTCAGCCTTCCAAAGTGCTGGGATTACAGGTGTAAGCCACTGCACCTGGCCTGAGTGTTAGTTGGCTTTTTATTTGCAAACCCTGTAGACTACTTTTCTTATCCCTGGCTGCATATTAGAATCACCCAAGAAATTTTAACATTACCTGATGTTCATGCCACATCCCAGACAAATTAGATCTGAATCTCCAGGGTGGGGCCCGGGAGCCGTTATTAAAATCAGTGATTTAATTATGCAACTAAGGTTAAGATCATTCCTTTAACGGTACTCACACATGCCATGACACACCTGCTCTGCACCCTCAATGACATACCTTTTCTATTCCCAACCCTGGGTAAGGCATCCATATTTCTCCCCTACTGGAATTTTTCTGGATTAAATTGGTAACTGTGCTGATTTCTTCTCTATTAGTTCATGTCCTTCAGCTTGATTGGAATGGCTCAGCAACTCCATGTGAGCAGCACCGATGAAGTAGGTATCCTGCTTTGGGCCAGGCCCTGTGCCCGAGGCACAGATTTCTCCAGCTTTGGAGAACCATGATCTGGGAGGATATCAACACCCAGGCACTCCCTATTTGTGGATAGGGAGTTTCTAAATAAAGGATTCTCTAACATTTATATAGAAAAGAGGAGGCTGGGTGTGGTGGCTCACACCTGTAATCCCAGCACTTTGGGATGCATGGGAGGCACTTTGGGAGGCAGGAGAGTCTCTTGAACCCAGGAGGCGGAGGTTGCAGTGAACCAAAATCGCACCACGGCACTCCAGCCTGGGCAAGAGAGTGAGACTCTGTCTCAAAAAATAAAACAAATAAAATAAATTTAAAAGGAAAGAGGAGGAACAGATTATCCAATAAGTATAACTCGAATGGACCTTTGAGATCAGCTGGAAAGTGTAGTGCCTAGTGATAGAGAAATTTGAAAAGAAGAGATAATGATTAACCTTGGGGAAAATAAATCTGTATGAAATAAAGGAATGTAAGTATAGTCTAGTAGCTCAGTATGAGTAACATTTATGCTTGGCACCGTAGCTCATGCCTGTAGTCCTAGCTGCTCAGAGGCTGAGGCAGGAAGGTCACTTCAGCCCAAGAGTTTGAGGTTGCAGTGAGCTATTATCATGGCACTGTGCTAAACCTGGGTGACAGAGTGAGATCCCAGCTCTAAATAAGTAAGTAATAACATTACGTAAATGTAATGTCAAAATAATAAAAACCAATATATCCAAATATTAGGATGAATGAATTATTATTATTTTAAGACGGAGTCTTGCTTTGTTGGTCAGGCTGGAGTGCAGTGGCACCATCTTGGCTCACTGCAACCTCTGCCTCCTGGGTTCAAGCGATTCTCCTGCCTCAGCCTCCTGAGTAGCTGGGATTACAGGCATGTTGTACCACATCTGGCTAATTTTGTATTTTTAGTAGAGACAGGGTTTCTCCATGTTGGTCAGGCTGGTCTCGAACTCTCAACCTCAGGTGATCCGCCCACCTCGGCCTCCCAAAGTGCTGGGATTACAGGCATGAGCCACCATGTCTGGCACCCCACTAACATTTTCTTTAAAAAAAATTTTTTTTTTCAGAGGTGGGGTCTTGCTTTATTGTCCAGGCTGGTCTCAAACTCTTGGCCTCAAGCAATCCTCTCACCTAGGCTTCCAAAAACTCTGGGATTATAGGTGTGAGCCACTGCACCTGGCCCCATGAATCTTTTAAGTATCACATATTATAAAATAAAAAGGCCAACTAACATAATTAACCGAAGAAAACATTTTAAAACCAAATGTCATTTTTCTTGTTAAAATATAGAAGTAGGAAAAATAAGGAACTCTTTCAAAAGCATGCTACCAGTGGCAATCTGGAAGGGAGTTTTAAAATTGAGTTAGTGTGTCTTCTTATTTCTCTGTGAGAAAGACAGAGCGGAACAAATTATATCAATGTGTGAAAACATCAATAATGCCAGATTTTGCTAAGGGATAGCCTGTTTTCTCGTCAGTTACCATTTGAAGTGGGATCCTCCTAAGGTCTTTGTAATTCAAGGTCCTGGGCTCCGCACTGAAGAGCTGCTCTGTACTGCCTCTAGGGGTCAGCATAATGCGAAGGACGAGCAAGCACAGCCACCCATTTCAGAACGCGAAGGATTCGCAGGGTGGAGGAAGGAATGCAGGTGATTACGCAGGTTTCCACTCAAAGTAAGGACGAGGAGTTGAGGCGAAGGGATTCAAATAATTTAATAATATTTGGCCTATCACATAAACTCCCTTGAAATTAGTGACAGGATTTTCTTTTCTTTTTTTAAATTTTAACTTAAAGACCAGTGTGATAGTAAACGGACAGGATTTTCATGATTCCCCTCATAAATGCTGAAAGCCATTTACTTTTTACATGCCTGTTTTGACCCTTTGGACTTAGACCACAGAAACGTTAACCACCACAAATTGGTTCTCCCAAAGCTCATGGGTTTTTTCTTTCTTTTCTTTTCTTTTTTTTTCTAATTTCTATTTTTTATGATTAAAAATAAATTTTTAATTTTTTTTTTTGTAGAGATGGAGTCTCACATCACGTTGCCCAGACTGGTCTCAAACTCCTGGGCTCAAGCAATTCTCCTGCCTTGGCCTCCCAAAGTGCTGGGATTATAGGTGTGAGCCACTGTGCCCAGCCATGTCATGGTTTTTCAATTTGAACTTCCTATATATTTTTTATTCATTTTGAGACAGGGTCTCACTCTGCTGCCCAGGCAGGAATGCAGTGGCACAATTGTGGCTCATTGTAACCACCAACTCTTGGGCTCAAGCCATCATCCTGCTTCAGTCTCTTGAGTAGCTAGGACTACAGGCACATGCCACCATGCCCAGCTAACTTTTTTATTTTAAGTTTTTGTAGAGATGGGGACTTGCTATGGCCTAGGCTGGTCTTGAACTGCTAGCCTCAAGTGATCCTCCTGCTTCAGCCTCCCAAAGTGCTGGGACTACAGGTGTGAGTCACTATACCTGGCCCAAACTTCTTATTTTAAGGCTAGAATGATGAGTGGCTGGCCGGCCGTCTCTCTAGAGTAGTAAATGGTGGGCTTTATTCTTTATACCTATAAACTATTTTATTTTATTTTATTTTATTTTTTATTTTTGAGAGAGAATGTCACTCTGTCACCTAGATTGGAGTGCAGTGGAGCAGTATTGCCTCATTGCAACCTCTGCCTCTCAGGTTCAAGTGATTCTCCTGCCCCAGCTTCCTGAATAGCTGGGATTACGGGTACCCACCACCATGGCCAGCTAATTTTTGTATTTGTAGTAGAGACGGGGTTTCACCATGTCCAGGCTGGTCTCAAACTCCTGACCTCAGGTGATCTGCCTGCCTCAGCGTCCCAAAGTGCTGGGATTACAGACATGAGCCACAGTGCCCGGCCACCTATAGACCATTTTATACTACCTCTGCCAAAGTGTGGTGAGCATAGATTTCTGGGGAAACTCATTAATGAAACTCACTGCCAGTAACCTGCCTCTCAATCACTGCATGGTGTCAGTCTCAGACATTTGAAGGGCTAAAATATAAGCAGGGGTAATTAATAGCACACTTTGCTTTTATATCCTGGTATATTTCCTGTGCCTCTGAACAATACTGCTGGGGACTACAGCTGATAAACAATTGTCTGCCTTGGTTGATGACTACTATGCAGTAAGAATTTAACAGTGTTGGCAATCTATGCTACAGGAAAAGGAGCACTGTATTTTTCCTCTTCCTTTAAGAGGAAAAGAAGAAACAGCACTTGGGCAGTTCAGTAACAGTCTTTGGGCATAAGAAAAGAAATCATTTCTTATTCCTTACAAACTCTGATTTACAAAAGAACACTGGAAGCTAAAAGCCATGTTGATTTATCATGTGAAGCAGAGAGTAATTTTTCTCCCCTTGTTAAGCTTTCATATAATCATGCTCACTGCCTGCATGGGTGGCATTAAAGAATTTCTGAATAAAAATAATAATTTCTTGCTTTCAACCTTCATAATTCACATCAGCAAGCACCCTGCTGGGTGGCGATGCCTACTGCCAGTGACGCTCAATCTGTTTTGCACGCCACTTATCTGCCTCATGCAGCTGTGTGCTCCATTGATCGAAATACCTGCAGGATAATGCGCCCGTAGGCGTTCTTCAGCAGATTAACCACATCCGCGTGAGACAGCCCATCCAAAGGTTGCCCGTTAATGCTGACAATCCGATCTCCAACCTGGAAGTACAAAAGTGACAGAAAATTACTATCATTAAGAAAAATTAAATTGGAGAAGAATGCTTAAAATTCTTTGCAAGTCATATTTCCCATTTGTGGCTATTGTGAGGATTCTGCGTTACGACCGTGTATGCGTGTTTAATAAGCATGAGGAATTTTTTTTGGCTTTCCCCAAATACGGACAAATCAGAGCTACAAGAAGGGGATCAGATTTGATTATTAAAAGGCACAGTAGGCCACTTTTGTATTTTGGTAATGGTGGTGCTTCGTACATCTGTTTGCCAGTGATTGTGGGGTATACACATTAACTGTTCAATAAAGTTCTAACAAGGAAGCCAAATATTTTCTGCTTTATTTTTCTACTGAAGTAAAGACTAAGGGACAATAAGGGGAAAAAAATCATAAAAATGGTGATTTTTTTTTTTTTAATTGAGGGAAGACTCTGAGGTCAAATGTCTCTCCGTTCAGAGCTGATTTTGGGTGGAATGAGGTGCTTATAAGGGTAAAGGAGGGTTTGCAAAGGAGCTGCAATTTCTTCTTTTACTGAGAAGCTTTGTCACAAATAATAATATTTGCATGTGCCCAGGGACCTAATGAATTTTCTTCTTTTTTTGTGAGATGGAGCCAGGCCAGGCACAGTGGCTCGCGCCTCTAATCCCAGCACTTTAGAAGGCTGAGGAGGGCGGATCATGAGGTCAAGAGATTGAGACCAACCTGGCCAACATCGTGAAACCCCGTCTCTACTAAAAAAATACAAAACTTAGCTGGGCGTGGTGGTGCACACACCTGTAGTCCCAGCTACTTGGAAGGCTGAGGCAGGAGAATTGCTTGAACCCGGGAGGTGGAGGTTGCAGTGAGCCGGGCTTGCGCCACTGCACTCCAGCCTGGCGCCTGGCAACAAAGCAAGACTCTGTCTCAAAAAAAAAAAAAAAGAGACGAAGTCTTGCTCTGTCGCCAGGCTGGAGTGCAGTGGCACGATCTCGGCTCACTGCAACCTCCAACTCCCTAATTCAAGCTATTCCCCTGCCTCAGCCTCCTGAGTAGCTGGGACTACAGGCGTGCACCACCACACCTGACTAATTTTCTGTATTTTCGTAGAGACGGGGTTTCACCATGGCCAGGATGGTCTCAATCTCCTGACCTCATCTGCCAGCCTTGGCCTCCCAAAGTGTGGGATTACAGGCGTGAGCCACCGCACCCGGCCCTAATGAATTTATAAAGGTACAAAGTGTCTCTAATGCATCGTGCCTTCAGCGTGGGTCTCTGATGGCTATTGGAATTCCAACTGTAAACAAGGTGCCCAGGCTTACAGCTTCCTCTCCCACCCCACCATGCGCTATTAGCCCTTCAATCAGTTCTCTCTTGCTTACTTTAAGCTTCTGTGTCCGTGCAGCCATTCCACTGGCCTGAATCATGGCAATAAATATAGGGATATCTCCTAACGGACTTCCTCTTCCTCCAGCAATACTGATTCCAAGGGCATCACTGAGCTCCTAAAAAAGAAAGAAAACATCATGCTTATATATTTAACAAAGAGCCACAAACTGACTCTCCCCAGAGAGCTGTTGAACAAAATCCCTCCATGAGGTAGGAGACCAGAATAACACAGGAGTTAAGTGTGGAGCCTTTGGAGTAGAAAGACCTGTTTCAGCTCTAGCTCTTTTTTTTCCTGAAACGGAGTTTTGCTCTTGTTGTCCAGGCTGGAGTGCAATTGTGCGATCTTGGGTCACTGCAACCTCTGCCTCCCAGGTTCAAGTGATTCTTTTGCCTCAAATTCCTCAGTAGCTGGGATTACAGGCATGCGCCAGCACTCCTGGGTAATTTTTTTGTATTTTTAGTAGAGACAGGGTTTCACCATGTTGGCCAGGCTGGTCTCGAACTCCTGACCTCAGGTGATCCATCTGCCTCAGTCTCTGTGCTGGGATTATAGGCATAAGCCATCCCTGCCTGGCCTCAGCTCTAGCTCTTAATTAACTGTGGAGTCTTGGGGGAAGTTTCTTAACCTTATGAAAGTTGTCAGAATCTAAATGGAGTCACTTGTGTTAAAAAACAAACAGGCCAGGCAAGGTGGGTCACACTTGTAATCCCAGCACTTTGGAAGGCCAAGGTGAGAGGATCATGAGGTCAGCAGTTTGAGGCCAGCCTGATCAACATGGTGAAACCCCATCTCTACTAAAAATATAAAAATCAGCTGGGCGTGGTGGTGCATGCCTCTAATCCCAGCTACTCAGGAGGCTGACGCAGGAGAATTGCTTGAACCTGGGAGGCGGCGGTTGCAGTGAGCTGAGATCGCATCACTGCACTCCAGCCTGGACGACAGAATGACTCCGTCTCAAGCAAACGAACAAACAAAAACCAACCGACCAACCTAAAACCCTTATAAACAGAGCCAGGGAAGGCTATGAAGAAAGCGTTCTCAGGCTTGTATGCCTGATAACAAAAATTATCACAAAAGACTGCAAAAACTTTGCAGGAGGGACATTACAACCTTAACATAAAAAAACACTTCTACAAGAGCATCTGTCCAGCAAATGCTCGTCCAGCCTTGGGCTGTGTGTCACCCCTATTATGAATCTTTGTAGCCAAGGATAATTACCTCAAAACAATTATATATTCTTCATTTTGTTCTCTAAAACTTATTTTCCTTACCTCCCTGAATATGCACATAGTCTACTAGGACCTGTGAATTCCCATTGCAATGCCCTATTCCTGCATAAGCAGCATTTTCTTTTAGAGAGTCTCTGTTATTTAGGTTGACTACCTCTTTAAGCCTCCATCTCTATGTATAAAATGAGAAGAATACTACATACCTGACATTGTTGGTCTGAGTGTTAAATGAGATGTTATGGCACAGTCATGGCCTACAGAAGAGGCTCAATAAAAGGCAATAGCAGGAGTAAATTAAAACACACACACACACACACACACACCCCACCCTATGTGCTGCTTAGTTTAGTGGCCAATTCTGACGCAGACTTGGCAAGTATGTTCTCATATGGTGTTTATGATTAAACTGCCACATACACTATGCTCTTCTGGGTGTGAACAAACACATTTGGCTTTAAAAGACTGCATAACAAAGGATCTGAGAGGACACCCACTGTAGTGACAACAGTTTGAAGAGACACATAAAATGTGGCTGAAAATGTTCCCCAAGACGGACTCCGGTGAAGAGACCTGGCTCTAGTCCAGTTTTTTTTCCCACATTAGTATCATAGAGTTAATATTATTTAAATCACTAAAAGAACAAATGACAAGTCCCAGTTCTGGCAAGGCAGCCCAGGGACGTGACAGCGTATCTCTCCTGCTGGTTACCATCAAGATGTCTCGTCAAAATGTAAAAAACAACTACCTGTGGCCTCTTAAACAGAAACCAAATAAAGCATGGTGGAGAGTCAAAACTTGGAGAATCAACAGCAGGGGGGACATCCCCAGTTTTATTATTTTTTTCCCCCGGCAGCTTTACCCTGAGGGCGATTTCCAGTCAAGGAGCTGGAAAGGTAGGGTGAATGCTAATATTCAGATAGAAATTCCATACTTCTGGGCAGAAGAATCAGGAAAACGAGTGGAAGAGAAGAAAAGCAGAATAGAGGAAGCTGACGAAAACGAATCCTCAATTCTGTTTATGAACCCACAGAACTCTCAGGCTACATATGTGTGGCAGAACTGAACCAGGATGGCAGAATTTTAGAAGCCAGGCGTGGTGGCTCACTCCTGTCATCCCAGCGCTTTGGGAGGCTGAGGCGGGTGGATCACTTGAGGTCAGGAGTTTGAGACCAGCCTGGCCAGCATGACGAAACCCTGTCTCTACTGAAAATACAAAAAAGTAGCAAGGCATGGTGGCATGCACCTGTAATCCCAGTTACTCAGGAGGCTGAGGCAGGAGAATTGGCTTGAACCTGGGAGGCGGAGGTTGCAGTGAGCCGAGATCACTGCATTCCAACCTGGGCAACAGAACGAGACTCTGTCTCAAAAAAAATTTCTGCCTGGATCACGTGTAGGAGAATAGGGGAGGTAGGAGCAGGCCTTATTACAAAAGCCTGTAAAAACAAGCGGCTGAAATGACTAAGGAAATATAAAATAATATTATTTTTGAAATCTTAGAGGAGAAATTTAGGCAATAACTTTCAGGCTCTGTTTAAATCTATCATGATGTTTCCTTAGTTTATCCATAATTGTGTATACTGTGGTACATTTCACTTCCCCATCATAGGAACATTTCAATTGCTACTGTGGTAGAAAAATAACTGGGAACGAATAAGGCAGACTCAGTGAAAGCTGTAGCTAATAATAACAGAGGCTACTTCCTGGGCATTCATAATGCACTAGGTACTATGCTAAGGACATTATATTCATTACCTTGTTTAATCCACACAACAATATTTACCTTTGCAGTATGTTAGTGTTATCACCCCCATTCTACAGATGAGAAAATTGAGGTTGACTTGCTATTATAGAGCTAATGGCTCTTTTTTGTTGTTGTTCCTTTTTTTTGAGACAAGGTCTTACTCTGTTGCCCAGGCTAGAGTACAGTGGTGTGATCATGGCTCACTGCAGCCTCAGTCTCCTGAGCTCAAATGATCCTCCCACCTCAGCCTCCCAAGTAGCTGGGAGCTGGACCACCAGCATGCACCACGACGCCTGGCTAATTTTTTTTTTTTTTGTGAGATGGAATTTTGGTCTTGTTGCCCAGGCTGGAGTGCAATGGCACGATCTCAACTCACTGAAACCTCTGCCTCCCGGGTTCAAGCAATTCTCCCGCCTCAGCCTCACAAGTGGCTGGGATTACAGGTGCCCACCACCATGCCCAGCTAATTTTTTCCATTTTTAGTAGAGATAGGGTTTTACCATGTTGGCCAGGCTGGTCTTGAACTCCTGACCTCAGGTGATTCACCCACCTCGGCCTCACAAAGTGCTGGGATTACAGGCATGAGCCACTGCACCTAGCTGTGGCTAATTAAAAAAAAAAATTGCCAGGCACGGTGGCTAACACCTGTAATCCCAGCACTTTGGGAGACCAAGGCAGGTGGATCATGGGGTCAGGAGATCAAGACCATCCTGGCTAACACGGTGAAACCCCCATCTCTACTAAAAATACAAAAAAAATTAGTTGGGCGTGGTGGCAGGCACCTGTAATCCCAGCTACTTGGGAGGCTGAGGCAGAGAATTACTTGAACCCAGGAGATGGAGGTTGTAGTGAGCCAAGATTGTGCTACTGCACTCTAGCCTGGGCAACAGAGCGAGACTCTTTCTCAAAAAAAAAAAAAAAAAAAAAAAAAAAAAAAAAAAAAAAAATTGTAGAGACAGAGTTTCTCCATGTTGCACAGGCTGGCCTCAAACTCCTGGGTTCCGTGATCCTCCCACCTCAGGCTCCTACAGTGCTGGGATTACAGGTATGAGCCACCACGCCCAGCCATACAGCTAATCTACAGGCTGAATTGTGTCCCCCTAAAATTCACATGTTGAAGCCCCAAATACCAGGGCCTCAGAATGTGACTGTATTTGAAGACAGGGCCTTTAAAATAAGTTTGGGGTGTGCCCTAGTCCAATGTGACTGGTGTCCTCATAAGAAAAGATCAGGACATAGGGGAGACACCAGGGATGATGAGTGACACACATGACAAAGGCCATGTCAGGCGACAGCAAAAAAGTGGACATCTGCAAGCCAAGGAGAGAGGCCTCAGGAAAAACCAAACCTGCAGCACCTTTATCTTGGATCTAGCCTTCAGAACTGTGAGAAAATAAATTTCCTTTTTCTTTTTTTTTTTTGAGACAGAGTCTCACTTGGTCGCCAGGCTGGAGCACAGTGGCACGATCTCAGCTAACTGCAACCTCTGCCTCCTGGGTTCAAGTGATTCTCCCGCCTCAGCCTCCAGAGCAGCTGGGACCACAGGTGCATGCCACCATGCCCAGATAATCTTTGTATTTTTAGTAGAGATGGAGTTTCACCATGTTGATCAGGATGATCTTGATCTTTTACCTCGTGATCCACCTGCCTCAGCCTCCCAAAGTGCTCGGGTTATAGGTGTGAGCCACTGTGCCTGGCCAAAATTACTGTTGTTTAAGACACCCAGTTTGTGGTGTTTTGTTATTGCAGACCTAGCAAACTAATGCCTTCAAACAGAGGTATCATTAAATCTAGAGAAGAAAGCTATGCTGGATATCACTCTACTGCAGTTGATTACCATGATTACCAGAGGGTCAATATTTCTTCTTGAACTCCGAATTCAGGTCAAAGTGAGCAAAATAAAAGTCAAGTTTCAGCCGGGCCCAGTGTCTCATGCTTGTAATCCCAGCACTTCGGGAGGCTGAGGTGGGCAGATCACTTGAGGGTGGGGGTTCGAGACTAGCCAGGCCAACATGGTAAAACTGTGTCTCTATAAAAAACACAAAAATTAACTGGGTGTGCAGGTGCGTGCCTGTAGTCTCAGCTACTCAGGAGGCTGAGGCACGAGAATCACTTGAAGCCAGGAGGTGGAGGTTGCAGTGAACTGAGATCGTGCCACTGTATTCCAGCCTGAGCAATATAGTGAGACTCCATCTCAAAAAGAAAAAGAAAAAAAGAGTCTACTTTCACTGAATATCATCACACAGGAGTCTGAAAATCAGGGTTCGACAAATTTATGAAGTAAAATACATCTTTTTTTTTTTTTTTGAGACGGAGTTTCGCTCTTGTTACCCAGGCTGGAGTGCAATGGCATGATCTCGGCTCACTGCAACCTCCGCCTCCTGGGTTCAGGCAATTCTCCTGCCTCAGCCTCCTGAGTAGCTGGGATTACAGGCACGTGCCACCATGCCCAGCTAATTTTTTGTATTTTTAGTAGAGACGGGGTTTCACCATGTTGACCAGGATGGTCTTGATCTCTCGACCTCGTGATCCACCCGCCTCGGCTTCCCAAAGTGCTGGGATTACATGCTTGAGCCACCGCGCCCGGCCAGTAAAATACATCTTATATGATCTTCTCAAAAGGGCAATTTAGCAACCTATATAAAAGCCTCTAATAACAAGCTTGCCTTTAGAACCAAAAATTTCATTTCTAAGAATTAGCCCTGAGGAAATTACCCATGATATGGGTAAAAATATAATGATTTTTACTATAAGAGATAGCAAAAATTGAGAAATGTGCTAACTGTTCAATGATAGGAAACTGGTTAAGAAACTGACATCACATTCATATGATGGAGTACTATGTAGTCAATAAAAATCATGCTGTATCCTGCCAAAAAATACTTATTTTAGTATGTACCACATGATGCCATTTTTGTCTTATAAAACTTTACATGTGCGGGTTAAAAGACTAAGATTGAAAAAAAAAAAAGATAAATAAAAATAAAACTACAGTGGATGAGATTTGCCAAAAAATTCATAGAGGTCATCTCTGTTCTACTGTACTTTTCTAAGCCTATTTCTTAATGTTACAATAGACTATATATATATATAGTTAGTTTGTTTTTGAGACAGAGTTTTGCTGTTGTTGCCTAAGCCGGAGTGCAATGGCACAATCTCGGCTCACTGCAACCTCCACTTCCTGGATTCAAACAATTCTCCTCCCTCAGCCTCCTGAGTAGCTGGGATTATAGGCACGCACCACCAGGCCTGGCTAATTTTTTGTATTTTTAGTAGAAGCAGGGTTTCACCATGTTAACCAGGTTGGTCTCAAATCCTGACCTCAGGTATCCACCCACCTCGGCCTCCCATAGGCCTGGGATTACAGGCATGAGCCACTGTGCCTGGCCTATAGACCATATTTTTACCTCAATAACTTGAAGGAGCACACTTACAGTCCAGTAACTTTTATTAGGGAAAATGTACATTTAATGCAAATCTAACACAAACCAGTGAAATATATATAGCAAAATAACTGACTTACCCTGTTTATCTCAACAGTCCTTGGTTCCATATCTGTGCCTATAAATAAAGAAGCAACACTATTAACTTTTTAGTATTAAAAAATAATATATTTATGATATAATATTGCCCCATGAAAAATGGTTTCATTTTCTAGGTCTTTCAAGAGAAGACACTAAAACAAGCAGGTACAGAACCCTTCCTCAGCATCCAAGCTGGTAGCCAAGTCACCAGAGACCATGTTCTCTTTTTTCTTTTTTTTTTTTTTTTTTTTTTGAGATGGAGTCTCATATCACAAATGACTCATCCTTGAAGCATTTACTCATCATATTCCAGGCAGCTGCTGCTATAAAGTCCATCAACTTTTGTCAGACCAAATGATTATGGACACATCGATCTCAAACAGAGATCACCGCTTTAAAATAGAGAACACAGCAGGCTGGATGCAGTGGCTCACACCTGTAATCCCAGCACTTTGGGAGGCTGAGCCAGGTGGATCACTTGAGGTCAAGAGTTTGAGACTCGCCTCGCCAACATGGTGAAACCCTGTCTTTACTAAAAATACAAAAATTAGCCAGGTGTGGTGATGGGTACCTGTAATTTCAGCTATTTAGAGGCAGAGGCAGGAAAATTGCTTGAATTTGAGAGGCAGAGGTTGCAGTGAGCTGAGATGGTGCCATTGCACTCCAGCTTAGGTGACAAAGCGAACTCCTGACCTCAGGTGGCCAGGCTACCTTGGACTCCCAAAGTGCTAGGATTACAGGCATGAGCCATCGTGTGTTTCATTGTACATTTTTTTCTACCTTAATCAAAGATAACCTCCATTCAACAAAAGACTTAAAAGGCCCTCTTGTCCCACACTGCCCCCGAGGGTATACACACTTTTTTTTCTTTTAACTGGCCCAATTTTCCCATAGACGGTATACACACTCTAAACTTCCTCCAGTGACAAGTGATTTATTAATTTTCTCTTCGTAAATAATTTTACTTTATGATGCATTCCAGCTTTCTGCTTTTCCGTTTTTCAGGTGCTTTGTCTCGTACCACTGAAGAAATTTCTTTCTTTTTTTTCTTGAGATGGAGTCTTGCTCTGTCACCGAGGCTGGAGTGTAGTGGCACCATCTTGGCTCATTGCAACCTCTCCCCCACCCCAGGTTCATGCAATTGTCCTGCCTCAGCCTCCTGAGTAGCTGGGACTACAGTTGTGGCACCATGCCCAGTTAATTGTTTTGTATTTTTAGCAGAGATGGGGTTTCGCCATGTTGGCCAGGCTGGTCTCGAACTCCTGACCTCAGGTGACCCACTTGCATTGGCTTCCCAAAGTGCTGGGATTGCAGGCGTGAGCTACCATGCCTGGCCACCACTGAAGGAATCTCTATGGCTTTCCCACCTTCGGAACAGGCCTTTCAGAGAGCTCAGCTTATGTGGCCAAGCTCAAAAATTTAAAAATCATTTAAAGAAGGCTGTTTTTTAAAAAACACATTTTTTTTTTTTTTAAATTTGGGTAACAGGACAGTTTTGCTCTGGGTGTGTCCGTGTAATACCTGAATTTTTCTGGGAAGGATCTGAAACTCTTTTCGTGCCAACCAGGTTTTGCAGGCCAGCGATGACAGGAGCAAAGGAGGGACGACAGCTGCTGTGTGAGCTCTGCTGACTGCCCTGGAAGAAAGACCCAGGGGTCACCCGTGTGCAGACACTGCCTCGGCCCGAAAAATGCAAACTTATCCACTGGCGTGCCAATGTCACCATAACCATCCAACAGAAAATCGTGAAGAGGCTAAGAAAGAAAACAAAAATCACCCGCACTTACTCTCTTACCACCTCAACCCAATCCCATGTAGCCATTTCCTCCATTGCTTTCACCATTACGTGTGCTTTTGTATAGGGTTTCAATCACCAAGGTGGGGAACATACAATCTTTTGAGCTGTTCTTGCTCCACATAAAATCAAAGCCATTTTCCTAGGTTGCCACATAGTGTGTGTATGTGTGTATATATATATATATATATATATATATATATATATATATATAGTCAGCTAATGGGGACTGTATTTCACTTAGGGTTACGGTCAATGTGTATTCCCTTATTACCTAAAATGTATTATGTATTTTGCTAAAACAAGTATAATAAGACCTTCATTAGCAGAAATCTGACAAAATAGAACCCTCAATTGTGGGGAAGAAAAGCACCAGATCTCAAGGGAAAAAGGCCTGTTTTAGGGATATATAACATTTTTTTCTCAAAGATTTTCCTAAAATCAGTAATAATTTAGTCCAATCTGTTAGACTCCATTACCTGTCCCTTTATTCATTGAAATGAGTATTTGAGGTTAATACTGTGTAGTCATTTAAGGCTAGTGGCTATTCAATAAAAATTGTATACATAACGAAAGGCCTTCCTGATGTAGACCACAATATTGCAAATAATGAATAATTTTTTCTACCAAATTATGCTGCATCAAAATTTTAAGCTAAGACTAGGATCACTGTTATCAGTTCATAAATTATAATTTGGTCCATTTTCTTATCTCTATGATGAAAGTTGTTCAATATTTTAATTCCTGTAATATGAAAATTTCAAATACATAGAAAAGCTGAAAGAATTATACAATAGACATCCATATACATAGCACCTAGATTTCACAATTAGCATTTCGCTATATTTTCTTGATCACTGTCATTTATCTATTCATCACTCTTTTTTTTTTTTTTTTTTTTTAAGATGGGGTTTCACCATGTTGGTTAGGTTGGTCTTGAACTCCTGGCCTCAGGTGATCCGCCCGCTTTGGCCTCCAAAGTGCTTGGATTACAGGAGTGAGCCACCACGCTTGACCTCTTTTTTTTTGTAAATTCATTTCAAAGTAAGCTGCAGATCTGAGTATACTTCACAGTAGCTATACACATTTAAAGGAATGTTTGTATATTTTTCCTTAAAGAATATGATTTAAATAAATGATACTATAATAGATAACTACTCAGAACTGAGGAAGTACAGCATATTATAATTTTGCCTTAAAAAAATTTCAGAATAGTCGGGCACGGTGGCTTACGACTTTGGGAGGCCGAGGAGGGTGGATCACCTGAGGTCAGGAGTTTGAGACCAGCCTGGCCAATGTGGTGAAACTCCATCTCTACTAAAAATACAAAAATAGGCTTGGCGTGGTGGCGCATGCCTGTAGTCCCAGCTACTCAGAAAGCTGAGGCAGGAGAATTGCTTGAACCTGGGAGGTGGAGGTTGCAGTGAGCGAAGATCGTGCCATTGCACTCCAGCCTGGGTGACAGAGCAAGACTCCATCTCAAAAAATAAAAGAAAATTTTTCAGAATTATGTGTTTGCCAAGACCTGTATTGTATTGTGTTGTGTTGTGTTGTGTTGTGTTGTATTGTGTTGTATTGTATTGTAATTTTCTGAGAAGCAGTCTCCCTCTGTTGCCCAGGCTATTATAGTGCAGTGGTGCAATTTCAGCTCACTGCAACCTCTGCCTCCCAGGTTCAAATGATTCTCCTACCTTAGCCTCCCAAGTTGCTGGGTTTACAGGAGCCTGGCACCATACCTGGCTAATTTTTGCATTTTTAGTAGAGACGGAGTTTCACCAGGCTCTTTGGCCAGCCTGGTCTTGAATTCCAGTCCTCAAGTAATCTACCCACATTGACCTTCCGAAGTGCTGGGATTACTGGTGTGTGCCACCTAGCCCAGCCCCAAGATCTTTATAAACATACACTTTGCCTGGCTGTGTTCCCTTAGTTGCCTGAGGAAAAGATCTTGCAAGTGTTTTTTCCTCTGAGGAGTAAGGAAATTTCTTCCTGGTTTGTGGGAAAAGTCATTTTTTAAAAAAAGGATGCTTGGTGGCCCCAAAGCTATAAGTTATTTCTCTCCTAGTGAACTCACTTTCTATGAATTAAATCAACAGCGTATTGTACTCAGCCCTCAGAAGAAGGTACTGATGTCCCTATTTTGTAACTGCTCCTGTGTCTCTACAAGATCCTGATTTTTTTCAGTGGGCCAGCATGTAAAAATGTTTGGCAACGGAATTTAGTTTTTGTCCACCTGGGTCACAGTCTTCAACACATGATGATGTGATGATGGGAAGACATATCGTTTTTTTAAATTTATTTTTATTTTTAAAGAGACCTTCAAACCTACTGCAAATCAAAGGAAGACATTTCCTTTTCACAGTTGGCTACCAGCCTCCTTCTAATTGGCCAAATAGGACAACCTCTTTTTTTTTTTTGAGACAGAGTTTCGCTCTTGTTACCCAGGCTGGAGTGCGATGGCGCCATCTAGGCTCACCGCAACCTCTGCCTCCTGGGTTCAGGCAATTCTCCTGCCTCAGCCTCCTGAGTAGCTGGGATTACAGGCACACGCCACCATGCCCAGCTAATTTTTTGTATTTTTAGTAGAGACGGGGTTTCACCATGTTGACCAGGATGGTCTCGATCTCTTGACCTCGTGATCCACCCGCCTCAGCCTCCCAAAGTGCTGGGATTACAGGCTTGAGCCACCGCGCCCGGCTGGACAAACTCTTATATGTCACCCATAATTCTAAGCACAGGTGATGATACATTTACTGTTTTTAAAAACTGAATTAAAATTCTTCCCTCTGAAATTAAAATTCCGTGCAAGAAGATTAGGGCAAAGTGTTTGATACTTTGTCCCAGGTTTCCGAAATATGACGGCTCACATTCATACACCAGTTAAGTGGTGATGATAGTTTTTTTTTTTTTTTTTTTTGGACATTTAATGATATATAGCTTCTAAATTTGGTAGTTCTGTCTTTAACTGGAGTGTGAACTTAAAAATTATCAAGATGCTGCCAGGCGCAGTACCTCACGCCTGTAATCCTGCCACTTTGGGAGGCCGAGGAGGGTGGATCACCTGAGATCAGGAGTTCGAGACCAGTCTGACAACATGGTGAAACCCCGTCTCTACTAAAAATACAAAAATTAGCTGGATGTGGTGGCAGGTGCCTGTAGTCTCAGCTACTCGAGAAGCTGAAGCAGAAGACTCGCTTGAACCCGGGAGGCAGAGGTTGCAGTGAGCCGAGATCATGCCATTGCACTCCAGCCTGGGCAACAGAGTGGGACTCCGTCTCAGGAAAAAAGAAAAAAAAAAATTATGAAGACGCTCACATGCATTGCTCAATGAAGGACAGAAATCCAGGTCTGCCCACGACCTTACCTATTGATCAGTCCAAACTTTCCTCATATCACACAAACTCCTGTTACCTCTCTGTGCCTTTATGTATGCTAGTTTCCCCGAGATGCCTTTTCCTTCTTCTCCCCAGACTCCATTTGGAGTGAGATTCAATGGAACCTTCTCTGAATAGCTTCTTTCTAATTTTCTGTATACAATAGGGCTTTAAAGAAATAATTCAACAAAGATGAGTCTTCCATTAAGGAAGAAGCCTGGCTACACAACTGTTTTGTTCGTTGATGTAAGTCTGGTCAATATCATCACTAACTATTCACTCATGGAATCCTACCGCAGCACTGTGTCGTAGATATTTGCTGCCCATTATGTAAGCCAGAAACGGAAAAAAAAGAAAAAGGTTTTAAACTCAATATGGTGTTTATTGAGTTTGACTGCTTTGAAGATTCCCTAAAACAAGTCAGCTAGTCTGTAATCCTATCTGAACAATGGTATCTTCCTCACTCATTTTCTAACACCAGTGAGGAACAGGAGGCAGCTAATAGCTTTCCAGAAGTGCCTGTGTGCTAACTGTAAGATCAGAGCACCTTCTGAACAAAGGCCTTGGGAAGACTTCAAAAGTAAGGCAACCAGGGAGGGGACCAAAAGTCATGCATTTAACCTCAAAACTAAGGCAGCCTATCCATAACCCAGAGAGGAGACTAAGGGGTCACAGTAAGTTTCTATAGTCTCATAATGTGCCACATGGGACTAACCACATACTCTACCATCTTGATTTTGTCAGCCATTACAATGAAAAAATATATATATGGTGAAACATACTTTGCTTAAAAAAAAAAAAAAAAAAATGGCACTTACATCAGCCTTGCAAATAAATATAAGATGTTTGCGAACCCACAAAATATCACCCACTAAGGCCTCCCTCCCACAGCAAAAACCCCCACACTTGGTTCTCCTGGGAATATGCCATTAATTGCCCTCAGCATGTGTGACTGGCTAGTCACAAGTTAACTTTAGAGCAATATTTAATTGAATGAATAGAACAATGTTGTGCGAATGAGGGTCAAATTGCCACCAGATGTTGCCCCCTCCCTTTTTTTTTTTTTTTAAATAAACACAGCTGTGTACATGCGGACCCGGGCAACATGGAACTAACAGTGAGAGAGAAAAATGGTTCTAAGAAAACATTTGCAAGCAATAAAGGAGAGAAAAATCTAGGGATTAATAAGTCTCTATCCCACCTTTCATTTTTATTTCCAACACATGAAAATTCACTAAACTTGGTGCTGTGAATATGCTGTACATTAGATATTGTTTCCTAAACAATCACTTATTAAATGGGAAACTTTTTCTCCGTGGGGGCAGAAGAGTGAGTCGGTCTGATGAGAAGCCATCGACAACCTGACTGTTCTGTGATGTCTTCCTCGCGGAGGTCCGGGAACCAGCTCGGAGTCTTCCAATCTCTAGCCGCACAAGCCCCTGTGCACACTTGGAAAGGCAAGAAAAGAACAGAAATGAAAAGTAGTAGCATTTATGTTCTGAAATATCATGACAGAACCTCTCCCTACAGCCACATATTATAAAAGGGTATTGAAAGCAACAGGCATAGCCCTAGAGAGAGGAGGATGAAGTCTGTGGCTCCTGGAGAGCCCATCTCATCAAACGCATTTAGAGAACAATCACGGATACTCAGAATTTTCACAAGTATGAGCAACCTCCTTGTGAAATCCCAAAGCAGGTTCCCTTTAATTCTATTAGCTAATATAACAGAACTTTCTTTTAAAGCTATTCCTGCTCATTTAAAATAATCAGAGATTGAATTTCTAGTAAAACCTAGAGTTAGCATAATCCAACCCATTTTATAATCAAGCTAGACTGGAATAGTTCCCACTGGACTTCAGTTGTGCCAGCTGGGTAAAAAGCAGCCTAGCAACTCACCTTGAGGATGGTGGCCACTGTCTCCTGTGAGGCATTTCTCATGTCCTCTCCATTCACAGATAAGATCTGATCTCCCTGAATCAATCTCCCATCCAAGTCTGCGGCTCCGCCTTTCACGATGTCAGAAATAAACACTCCACTTCCATTTCTGTTAATATCATACAGCAGTGCAGTATTGGCACAACCTAATATTTCTACGCATAATACTTATGTGTGTCTGTGACAGGATACACACACTCCTTTTTTCTTCCAGTTCTGTTTTCCTTTTTTTTTTTTTTTTTTTCCCCATACCTTGGCAATTTGTCTTTATTGGCACTTGGAGCGTCCTCATCTTTCAAATGGCTACATACTATTCTATGATGTTTCATAATTTCACTTACCGGTAGCTTACTGATGAACATGCAGGTGATTCCCATTCTTTAACTATTGCAAACAATAAGCAATGAATACCTGTAAGTATATCTTAAAGACAAGGTCCCGGTGATGGAATCGTTAGTCAAAGAAAATTGTGACTTTGGAGAACTAAACATCTCATCCTTTACACTGCAAGTTTTTGTGCTAAGGAATGTAAATGTTCCTTATAAACTCAATCTGAAATATTAACGTTCACTAAAAGCAAAAACCATTACTCTAAATGAAATTGCTCCAGGCACACGTATGTGTCAAAACAAGAAAGCAACTTCGACACTGGCTCTGTCAGTTGCTCTGCACCCAGATGTGTGCTGATTTTTGTTTAGAAATACAAGAGACGCAGCTTTTTTGGTTTGGCAATGCATTTTCAGAGTGATGGTTTTATGGTGCTGAAGTAAAAAATGAGATTATGAGAGCACAATACTCGATCCAAAATCTGTACTCAAAAATTGTAGCTAATATTTTTATTTTAATAACAGCTTGGCCTGAGGACAAAAGCATTAGGCTAGTCACCAGAGATCTGTGAGGGCATATAACATAACATGCATAAAAGCAACTTGATTTCTTCCTTAACAAGCTGAAGGCCATATTCGGATATTACCTGGAAATCCTACAGCTCTGTTGGGATTAATACATACTAGATATCTAAAAGCCATGGAAGCTAGACTTCGCTTCAAGCTATTACTTACCTTTCCAATTCACTGCAAGAGAAACTTAGTAATACTATCCTGGAACAAACTACTGTTAAGCAGTATAGACTTCATTTTTCTTTATTTTTAAATTTTTTTAGAGACAAGTCTTACTATGTTGCCAGACTGATCTTGAACTCCTCACCTCAAGCGATCCTCCCACATCAGCCTCCCAAAATGTTGGGATTACAGTCGTGAGCCACTATGCCTGGTCTACGCAACATATATTTCAAAAGAGCAGCCTGGCCGTTAGGATCTACCTACCTATATTTTTGGTGCAAAATATTACTTTGGGGACATCTTTATTTTTTCCTTTTCTTTCTTTCTTTTTTTTTTTTTCTAATTTACAGATGGAGTCTTGTTACATTTCCCAAGAGGCTCAAGTGCAGTGGCTATTCACAGGCACGATCGTAGCACACTATGGCCTTGAACTCCTGGCCTCAAGTGATCTTCCCACATAGCTGGGACAATAGGTACATGCCACTGTGCCCAGTAGGACATTTTTTTTTTTTTTGTCATGTCCAGCTTGCAAAAAAGACATTTTTCTTAATAGAAAACTACTATCATGAAGAATTATATTTGTCTCTTAACTGTGTTTACTCAACTAGTTTTAACATAGTGTGAAATTAACATAGTATGACACAATGCAATGTTCCATGTTAATTTCCATGCTAAAGCAATGTTCTTGACCCAACATGGGATAAATCTCCTTGACACTAGCTATTTTTGGGTATGGTTACTTTAACTAACCTCTGCAAAACTCAGATCTTAGTAATTCCAAGTGAAAGAACCTTCTAGCTGTTTGTACTCTATACAAAAGTATAACAGTTTGGGTTGATTGGGCCTGGAGTTCTATTTTGATATGACAATTTTTTTGGTAAGACCTTGCTCAGAAATATGACCCATGTTGTCAAATATTCATAAGTATCTTAGTTTTAGAAATCCCATTGCTAGTTTACATGAAGCTTTCTCTTTAAGCGTTCACAGGCATCAGTCCCCAGAGCTCTGGATCAAAAAGGCAGATCCTGACTTGCACAGGATGGCTTTACCGTTTCCCAGCGATGCTCAGGCCCAGGCCGCGGCCAGCTTTCTTCTGCAGATCCACAGGGAAAACCTCCAAGTTCTCCTCATCTCGGTAGTGTGCCTCATCTCTATACACCACCAGCCGCACCTTCTGGGGGGTCTGCCTCAGGGCTGAGATGGCTTCTTCATGGCTGGAGCTCCTCAGGTCAACCCCATTAACCTGGAACAATGGGCATTCTGAGATGGGCTGCTGGTGGCAGAGGCCTCTGCCTACTCTGTCTGCTGAATCTCCTTGATCTATCCAGCTAAGAATCTCTAGAAATTTTCAGCCACTCTCAAAGCAAACAGGTAGTGACCATGAGCAGTACGAGCTGCTTCGAATACAAAGGAGGTGGCTCTTAAAATATCCCACCCCACAAGCGCACAGAGGGTGGATACATGATAATGCAATTTCACATAGCTATGAACTTTACTTGAAATCAATGAAAGAGAGAGAGAGTGTGTGTGCACGCAGGGAATTAACTAGCTCATTTCATTGAGATCAAAGCAAAAGAAATGTTAGTGTTTAGTCAGCATTTTTAGATTCAGTTGCTTATTGGATCTGACATCTTCACTCTGATTATTTATTTATTTTTTTAGATAGGGTCTCACTCTGTTGCCCAGGTTGGAATGCAGTGGCATGAATACTGGGCTTACTGCTTCCTTGACTTCGCAGGCTCAAGGGATCCTTCCACTTCAGTCTCCTGAGTATCTGGGACTGCATATGTGTGCCACCATGTCTAGCTAATTTTTAAATTTTTTGTAGAGATGAGGTCTTGCCATATTGCCCAGGCTGGCTTCAAACTCTGGGGCTCAGGTGATCCTCCTGCCTTGGCCTTTCAAAGTGCTGGGATTACAGGCATGAGCCACCATGCCTGGCTGACATCTTCACTCTTATTTGCTCACGTCACAACTGCTTCATAACAAGCGCAGAAGGAGATGAGAGACCAGTATTTCCAGCAGCATCCAAGACTCTCTGAAATCTTCCCATTGGAATCTGGTTCTGTCTCTCTTTTTTTTTTTTTTTTTTTTTTTGAGACGGAGTTTTTGCTCTCGTTACCCAGGCTGGAGTGCAATGGCATGATCTCGGCTCACCGCAACCTCCGCCTCCTGGGTTCAGGCAATTCTCCTGCCTCAGCCTCCTGAGTAGCTGGGATTACAGGCACGCGCCACCATGCCCACCTAATTTTTTTTGTGTATTTTTAGTAGAGACGGGGTTTCACCATGTTGACCAGGATGGTCTCGATCTCTCGACCTCGTGATCCACCCGCCTCGGCCTCCCAAAGTGCTGGGATTACAGGCTTGAGCCACCGCGCCCGGCCTTTTTTTTTTCTTTTGAGACGAAGTCTCGCACTGTTGCCTGGGTGGGAGTGCAGTGGCACGATCTCGGCTCACTGCAACCTCTGCTTCCCAGGTTCACGTGATTCTCCTGCCTCAGCCTCCAGAGTAGCTGGGATTACAGGTGCACACCACCATGCCTGGCTAATTTTTTGTATTTTTAGTAGAGATGGGGTTTCACTATGTTGGACAGGGTGGTCTCCAACTCCTAACCTCGTGATCTGCCCACCTTGGCTTCCCAAAGTGCTGGGATTATAGATGTGAGCCACCACACCTGGCTCCTAATGCTTTTTTAATTCTACCATTCTAAAGACTAAGGACCAGTGGCATAAAGAACGGTTATGGGGAAAAGAGAAAGGAAGGATGAACCTTCTTGGAGAAGGTGACTTTTGGACTGTCATTTAAAGCTGATTGTATGAGCCAAGAAAGTGTTTAAAAGCTGCTATTTCTTTTCTAGTATATCTTGGTGGCTTGCGTGTTCACTTAGGTGAGCTATATCCAGAATAACGGTGGTAAAGAACATGGGTTTTGGATATGGATGCACTTGGGTTTGAGTGCTGATTCTGACTTACTGGCTATATGAAACTCTGTGTAAATTACTTAAGCCAAATTTTTGCCTTGTCATCTATGACGTAGAGATAATCATATTTACTTAGTGTTGTGAAGATTAAGCCCCGTAAATCATTCAGCACAGGGCCTGGCACACAGTTACGTTCAATGTAAATTACAAGTTGATATTTCACAAGGAATTGAAGTAACATCAGTGAATTTTCCTCTCAGCGTAATCATTTACTGCTACTTTAAGCCAATGAATACATTTTCATTGTCTGTGAATGAAACACAAAGAGGAAAAGTGTATTTCCAGGAAATGTGGTCTGAGCTGATTATTTTCCTGTATTCCAACAGATGGCACACAAGACCACTTCTGTTACTCAATTTTTAAAAAAAGTTACCTCCATGGATTAAAGGTGAACTTTCTAAGCCTCTAAATACCTTTTGAAAGGCCCTAACAAATATACTTTTAATTATAAGCGTTGTCATTAAGCTGTAATATTACAAAGCAATTTCTATTAAATTCCAGCATGACAGTATCTGCTCCGATGGAAGTGATCTAAGATCACAGTTTCCATTTGCTCCTCTGCAAATCAGGAGATACCACTAAATTTGCCAATAATCATGATAGAAATATCATGATGTGGCTAGAACATTGTGGAGAGATGTATTATGTAAGTGCCTTACAGAAGCCTGGTATGCGTGATTTAGAATATTGATTGTAGAAGAGGAGGGTGGAAATAGCAGGGCTTCCTATTTGAGAAGAAAGCCTCCAGGAAGACCCATGTGTCACGGGAGCATACCACATCCCTTGGATAGAATGGCCATGTGGGAAAGCGGATGAACCCAGTGCTTGAGAAGGAAAGAGTAACAAAGCTAGTGCAGCAGCTCCTCAGTATTTTACTGCATAGGGGAACTCAGGCATTAACTCTCTACCCTCTTCTGCTCACTCTTGCATCAAAATAGAGGGGATAATGGCACTAGGAGTGGGGATGGGGGAGCAGGGAGGGTACCAGAAGGAACTGGCCTAAAAGGAGAACCAGAAAGAAGACACAGCTCATGTTCATCCTATTAATAGAATCGTAAGTCTTGCCAAGCCAAAACATTATTTGAATCTATCTTTGGAAGCAAAATCTGGCTTGTCCTAACCTTAACATCAGGATAGTATTAAAACCATGAAAGGCCAACTTGTGGAATGCAGAGGACTTTCATGAGTGGAAAGGGCACTGTTTGGAAAAGCCTTGTTTCATGATCTCAAAATATCCCATGAAAACAGGCCTGTCTTCTCAATGCCTTCTGGAGGTCACAGGCTGCCGCTGCATCGTCACGCATTTCTAGTCATCAGCCACAACCAGAACCAGCCCGATGTGGAGTAGAAAGCTGTTTAGAAGGGAAACATGTCCCCTGACCAAATTGAGAGCTATATTTCTTAGTTAAACACGTGTTAGACTCTCACAAGCTAGACTTTGTCTGAGGTAAGAGAGGAACCTGTATTGGCCATCTTTAATGAGCAGTATAGACATCCATTCCGAAGAGATAACATAATTTTGCCAGTTGCCAGGAAACGGTTAACTTGATTTTTACAATTCTCCTTCCACTTAAAACAAATTTGCTTTATTCATGTTAACCTTTAGCGGGTGTTCACTTGTACTTGAATATACTTTATAGATGAGAGTGGCTACAGATGGTCTATCTAATACAAACAGAAATCACTTTAAAAAAATCCTTATTGAGGTATAATTGATCTAAAATAAACTGCACAAATTTAAAGTGTACAATTTGATAGGTTTTACCAGATGTGTATTTATACCTGTGAAGCCATCACCACATTCAAGATAATGAACATTATTAGATTTAGTTTCAAGTCACCATTATAATCTGTGGACTTACAATTCATGTATGTATCAAGGCATATGCGTATCTATGCCATTTTAAATATTTAATCTATTCATCTTAAAAAGCCAATTATGATAATACCAATTGATTTGAAGATCTAGCGAGGGAAAAACAAAGAAATCTCAAACTCCTGATCACTGAAAAACCATGTTGTATGCTAAGGCAGTCAAGCCAATTCCCAGAGAGGTCTTGCTTATTTTTCTAACCTCATACACTTGTACCTTAATTAATGTACTGGGAATATGTCTTAATCCAATGATGAAACACAGTAAAGGCCTGCAGAGAAACCCCGTAACTCGGGCTGAATTTAATTTGCAAACAGCTTAGCCTCTCCTTTAACCCCTTCTCGCCTATGTTTCCTGCCCTTAATTATATCTCTGGTTTCATCTTGGGAGGCAGAAATGAACCACCAAAGGGAAAATTAAAATTCTATGATGTCATTCATAACGTGCTATATTAAAGTTGCAAAGCAAAAAATGCACATGGCCACCATAAAATGCTAACTATTCAATTAAGTTCATCCAGTGAAAAAATAAATGCTGCCTAAAGGTTTCACACCATCGAGAAAGCTCTTTCATTCCACCCAGCAGAAGGCCTGGCATCGGCTTCCCATTCAGCCGTCCCACAGTGCAGACACTGCCTGCTTCGGTTCTTTTTAAAAGGCTTTAACAACTTTGCTAAATGAGAGTCAATTTGAAAAAGTGAAGCATTTCAATTTTTAGTAAGCATCATATTTCTCCTAAAGAGAGAAGACTTTACATTTTTATCAACTTGAAAACATGGATGGCAAGGCATGAACTTCCATTTTGCATAAAGATTTATTAAGATTAAGAAAATATTGGCTGGGCGAAGTGGCTCACGCCTGTAATCCCAGCACTTTGGGAGGCCGAGGCGGGTGGATCATGAGGTCAAGAGTTTGAGACCAGCCTGATCAACATGGTGAAACCCCATCTCTACTAAAAATACAAATATTAGCTGAGCGTGGTGGTTTGCAATTGTAATCCCAGTTACTCAGGAGGCTGAGGCTGGAGAATCGCTTGAATCGGGGAGGCGGAGGTTGCAGTGAGCTGAGATCACATCACTGCACTCCAGCCTGGGTGACAGAGTAAGACTCTCTCAAAAAAAAAAAAAAAATTCTATTTAAGCTGCCACATAATCTTTAAAATATCAGGTATATATGTATATGCATGTGTCTATATGTATCTGCTTTTAGGAGGAATTTAGTAGGGCATAATGGAGAGGCAAAACATTTGCAATATTATATAGTCTCATTTGATTAAAATAATAGAGCCGTAAGTTGTATTTTTCCTTTTAGTTAAAAAAAGTTTTCAGAGGAAAATGTAGATTGATAACCTGTCATGATTCTAGACCACTGCACAATGTACATTGAAGAAAAAAAGAATATGGTATATATTTTGTTAAATGGGAGAGAAATCAGTGAAGATATAGTTGAGTAGAAAGATAAATTCACTTTGTGGCTCAAGATCAGGAAAGGAACCATATTTACTGATATAAAATAAAATTCAAAATCATATACCTCTAATATCTGGTCACCAGCCCAAAGTCTTCCATCTCTGGCTGCTGCCCCTTCTTCATATACTTCATGGATAACTATAGCATTCTATAAAAAAGAAAATCTTATTAATTTTCAACTACCACAAATGCTTCCTTAAGCAAACAACCAATAGGCAGCGACCCATAATTTTCTATTTGTTAATAACATTATATTTTATCTGACATAAAGATAAACAATATAGTTATGATATATTCAGAGGTATAATTAAATTTTCCTAAGATTATTATTTCATTCCTTTAAAACCGGCTTTGCCTAACATTTCAGGTTAAACGTCTTCCATGTGTTTTACTGTTAACCCTGTGCATTGCTGCTGTGTATGAACTGGAGGTGAACTATGTGTCATTCTTATTTACATTTTATAGCGTATTTTGAAACACGGTTTCAGGTATTTACGGGTATTCAAGGATTTGGTATAGCTGTGTGGCCTGATGAAGGGGATTTTGCCAGGCCTTATTACTTGGGCAATAAAAGAAAGGAACTTAGTGGAACGAATGGGTCTTGTAAGAGAGGAAAACAGGAGTAGGAGAAAGAGCATTCATGGACCCAAGTGTAAAACAGCTGTGGGTTCGAATCACAACTCTGCTTTCTTGTAATCTTGTGCAGTTAATTCCTTTGAACTCAGCAATCTGAGCCATAAAATTAGAATGACAATATTTACTATAGCTAAGCTTTGGTTGGGAAAACTGTTTCCTAGTTAATGAATTAAAAAATACTTTGTATCTCTTTAGATTCATAACTTAAGATTTTATCATCATAAAAATGACATGTATCCATGTATTGGATTCAAGCAATACCACTACAGGTTACATTGCAAGGTACAAAAACAGGCTGCCTCCCACCCAGACTCAGCCCCACTCTCTAGAGACAATCACCATTCACAGCTTCCAAGGATCTCTCTAGATAATTCACATTTATACACCCAAACGGTTATATATTTTGATGAGAGACTATCCTAAAAATATTTTTTTATTTTTTAATTTTTTTTTAAAGACAGGGTTTCACCATGTTGGTCAGGCTGGTCTTGAACTCCTGACCTCAGGTGATCTGCCCACCTTGGCCTCCAAAGTGCTTGGATTACAGGCGTGAGCCGCCATGCCTGGCCTCCTAAAAATAATAAATTGAGTTTGTCCACTTTCTTTTTCCCTCATTCCCCTTCTGTAGAGCCCAGTCGAGCTTTGTAGTTCTTTGCCTTGGGGATTTTTGTAGAGTGGAAATCTGAAGCAACCAGAAGACATTGGCTCTGTTTTTAACAGACCCGAAGAGCACTGAATGGATAATTATGTGGATAATTATGGATAATTATTTATGATAATTATGATAGGTGTCTTGGAGGGCTGCTGGGAGAGGGACACAGCTTTTTTTTTTTTTTTTCTTGAGACAGAGTCTTGCGCTTTTGCCCAGGCTGGAGTGCAATGGCACGATCTCAGCTCACTGCAGCATTCACCTCCCAGGTTCAAGTGATTCTCCTGCCTCAGCCTCCCGAGTAGCTGGGATTACAGGCATGTGCCACCACGCCCGGCTAATTTTTGTATTTTTTTAGTAGAGACGGGTTTTGCCATGTTGGCCAGGCTGGTCTTGAACTCCTGACCTCAGGTGATCCGCCCGCCTCAGCCTCCCAAAGTACTGCAATTACAGGTGTGAGCCACCACGCCCGGCCGAGGGACACAGCTTTTGAGTGGAGATTAGAGACGGAGGTCTATGGGTCCCACAACAGGGATTTGAGTCCAGAAGTGCCCAGGGTTCTCCTATTCCTTGCCCCCAGTGCACACACACAGGTTTTAAGACACTGCTGGCAATGGTCAAGAGCTGACACCTCTGATACCTGTCAGACCGTATAGGCTGACACCTATAGGACTCCAGCCATGAAAGAAGTCAAGTGGCAGGACTTCTGGACTTGAGAGATCTTATAGGCTTAGGCAAGGACAGGCTTGATGATGAGCAGGCAGTGCTGATAGCAATGACCATAATGGTGTCACCAACGTCTGGGTGCTTGGTTGGGACCCTTCAGAGTTAAAGAGCCACCAAAACGGCTGAGGTTGAATTTCACTTTAGCCCAGAAGTATGGAGCCTCAGAGTTAAGTTCACATGAAGTAAAGAAATGAATATTTCTTGCAAAAATATGACAAAATAGACACACACACAAACACACACCCCAAACTGTGTTTGTTTGCTTTTTATTTTATTTTTTATTTTATTTTTATTTTTTTGAGACGGAGTTTCGTTCTTGTTACCCAGGCTGGAGTGCAATGGCGCGATCTCGGCTCACCGCAACCTCCGCCTCCTGGGTTCAGGCAATTCTCCTGCCTCAGCCTCCGGAGTAGCTGGGATTACAGGCACGCGCCACCATGCCCAGCTAATTTTTTGCACCTTTAGTAGAGACGGGGTTTCACCATGTTGACCAGGATGGTCTCGATCTCTCGACCTCGTGATCCACCCGCCTCGGCCTCCCAAAGTGCTGGGATTACAGGCTTGAGCCACCGCGCCCGGCGCTGCTTTTTAATTTTTTTTTTTTTTTTTTTTTTTTTGAGACGGAGTTTCGCTCTTGTTACCCAGGCTGGAGTGCAATGGCGCGATCTCGGCTCACCGCAACCTCCGCCTCCTGGGCTCAGGCAATTCTCCTGCCTCAGCCTCCTAAGTAGCTGGGATTACAGGCACGTGCCACCATGCCCAGCTAGTTTTTTGTATTTTTAGTAGAGACGGGGTTTCACCATGTTGACCAGGATGGTCTCGATCTCTTGACCTCGTGATCCACCCGCCTCGGCCTCCCAAAGTGCTGGGATTACAGGCTTGAGCCACCGCGCCCGGCTTTTTAATTTTTAAAAAATGTTTGAGATAGCATTTCGCTTTGTTGCCCAGGCTGGAGTGTAGCGGCTCAATCACAGCTCACCGTAGCCTTGACCTCCCGGGCTCAGGTGATCGTCCTGCCTCAGCCTCCCAAGTAGCGGGGAATATACAGGTGCACAACCATGACTGGCTGATTTTTGTTTTTTAAGTAGAGACGGGGGTCTCACTATGTTGCCCAGGTTGGTCTCAAACTCCTGGGCTCAAATAATCCTTCTGCCTTGACCTCCCAAAGTGCTAGGATTACAGGTATGAGACACTGTGTCCAGCCTTTTTTTTTTTTTAAAGAGAAGGAGTCTCACTATGTTTCCCAAAAATCCTGGGCTCAAGTGATCCTCCTGCCTCTTCCCAGGAGCTGGGACTACAGGCACATCCTATAGCTCCAGGCCGACTTTCTTTTAAAAACAAAAACAGTAACAGAAAACAAACAAAAAAGGTTTCTATACACATTTCACAGTAGAGAAACAATAAAAGAAAACAAGAATTCTCTAACTAGATAACCCATCTGGATTCCAAATATTTTTACAATACTAAATATAGTACTTTCATTTTATCACTATACAGTTCTGAAAACATTCTTTATTGTAGCAATTAGAGACGCAGCCCCCAAGAGTCAGGAAAAGTTTCTGGATCCAGACAATTTATATTTCAGATTCTGTACCAGCAATGGATTTTAGACCATTCTTTGTTTTAACTCTGACTTATGAAACTTCCAGACCCAGGGAGCATTTACACTGCCAAGAGTTTGTTTCTCTGAACTATTTCAAAGGAATGATTTGGAGGAAACTTGCGGGGTCAGTGGAGATACTGAGATCCTAATAAAGGCCATTTGTATTAAGGTAGTATGAGGAGAAACTAATGCAGATTCCTGGTAGTACCCTGTAATGATGCTGCTGGTTTTCAAAGTTTGATGCCCAAATACCCTATCTTCACTGGATTGAGAGAGTCACACACTAAACTTAGACTATGCATGGATTTTACAAAGCTTGATTTTCAGCAGAAACTCCTTTGATCTTGGAACATCATAAAAGGTAAATAGGAAATTTCTGTTCGCTCATACTCAAAAGAAAGAAAAGACCCCCTTGAAGTTTTTAGTCCATAAAAGTGGTCTGAATGAAAAATTCTTAGATACTTTGTGATGCTCAATGAACCATCCTACATAAAGGATGGCAATGACCATAAAAGAATAATACGTTAATAGTTTCAAATGCCGAACTCACTGCAAATGATCTATTTTTAGTGTGGAAGTCTTTCTGTATGTAAAACTCTCCATTTATTTATTTATTTTTGCTTGAGTGCTACTGTAATTTCTCTTAAAGTTATTAGTGAAGGCCGGGAGTAGTGGCTCATACTTATAATCCCAGCACTTTGGGAAGCCAAGGTGGGTGGATCACCTGAGGTGGATGGATCACCTGAGGTCAGGAGTTCGAGACCAGCCTGGCCAACATGGTGAAACCTTGTCTCTACTAAAAATACAAAATTAGACGGGTGTGGTGGCACATGCTTGTAGTCCCAGCTACTTGGGAGGCCGAGACAGAAGAATCACTTGAACCCGGGAGGCGGAGACTGTAGTGAGGTGAAGTCATGCCACACCCCAGCTAATTTTTGTATTTTTAGTAGAGATGGGGTTTCACCATGTTGGTCAGGCTGGTCTTGAACTCTTGACCTCGTAATCTGCCCACCTTGGCCTCCCAAAGTGCTGGGATTACAGGTGTGAGCCTGGCCAAAAATTAAATTAAAAATAAGGTGCTAATTATGCATATGATGCTTATCTCATCATTGGATGTCCTAAAATTTTTTTGATATCCTAAATTTTAATGCTCTTGAATTATTCAGGCAAAACTGCAGCTCTGAGTGCCTTCTCCCCCACCAGCCCTCCCTTCCTATCTCTGCATATGAAATAATATTTCAAGACCCAAGACCTCAGTGACTCCAGTCTACAAATACCAGTGATTCCTAAAACTCATCTATCCCCAAAGCAGTCCATGAATCAACCCACTCTTCAGGTGGCTCGCTGGCTTACTCTGGAGACAGGCTATACAGGCAAAGGATTATGAGCTAGGCTTATGGAGTCAGTCTTCTTTGGTCTAAATCTTGGACCTGTTTCTGCTGGCTGTAGGCCTTGGGAAGACTGTTAACCTCTCCAGGGCTCAACTTTTTTTGTTTTGAGATGGAGTCTTTCTCTGTTGCCAGGCTGGAGTGCA